GACTATGAATACGTACATACTTAAGATATTACTTATTCTAAACAAGTTGCGATTATGAATACGTCAAAGTCTATAAACATACAAGTCTGTCTTCGCCAAGTAAACCTTATTCCTGTCAACTCAAGCCTGCGCCAAGTTTCGACTATGAATCAAGGGATACACTTAAGCATCAACTTAAGTCTTACTTATTAATAAGTTTGGATTATGAATACGGGCCTAAGGAGAGTCAATTCGTGCCAATAGCGGTAGTGGGGGTGAGGCAAAAAGTGGCGACGGATAACTTCCCCCACTCTTGCGCTTCATTAGTCCTCTCTGTCGCTCTATATAGTTGTCGCTCTGTCGTTCTATAATCGTCACTTTGTCGCTCTTATATCGAACTTTCACACAATGCGCAGTGCCGCTGCACATCGTGTGAATAGCCGCGGACGTTTTTTGACTCACCCCCACCACACGAGTTGATCCTCCTTAGTTTTAGTCTTCTTGGGTTTATTGATTCGGCGTCCGGCGATAACAGCTGATCGTGGAACGTAGGGGTAGGGTAGGGTAACCGGTGACGTAGAACATAGGAGCTCACAAAAGTTGAAATAAATTCCACACACTTCGCTGCAATATATGTTTACGTGTGCATATGTATATATAATAATTAAATAGGATTTGTTAATAGAAAATCGTTAATAAAAACTCGTATTAAAAGCAAAAATAAAATGCTGAAGCCAAAGGCGCTCACACAGGTTCTCAGTCAGGCGAATACCGGGGGCGTGGAAAATACTTTGTGAGTAAGAATTTTGCAGCGATCAGCGTCAATAGTGTCGTGTAAGCTGATTTCTTTTCGGTATAAATTCGCTTGCAGTAAATATTTCAGGTTTTCTTCTAAAAACATGTCATTCCTACAAGAGTAACTTCGCACAAAGTGGGAATATGTACCTTTTTTTTGTTAATTATTCTTGTGCACGATATTTAGAAATCGCAAAGATCGATACCCCAGTAATATTAATAATAATGTAAATTGCTAGTAAAGATACAAGTTATTACATGAAAAATTCTAAAATCCTACATCTTTATTATACCAGAATATTTTCATGTTTTAACTTATACCAGAATTTTTTCATTAAAATAGATATTGATTACATATTTATATATACATTTCAGATTACTCAACAGAGATGGTGGATTATTAGCATACAGTGGTTACGGGGATAAGGACGCTAGGGTTACAGCCGCTATCACAAGTAACATTTGGACAGCTTACGAGAAGAATGGGCGAAATGCCTTCAAGGAAGACGAATTGCAGTTCGTTCTCATGGATTGTATGGTAGTAACGGATTAAACAGAGTTTTCTTAACTGTTTTATAGAAGCCAAGATTTATAGAATTTTATAGAAGCCAAGAATTATACTCTTCCTGATTTTTATAGGAAGGAAAAGTCGTTATCACGGAGGTAGCCAATTTACTCTTGTGTTTGTATGCAAAGGAAAATGTAGGATTTGGATTACTGCGCGAAAAAGCACAGGCGTTGGCCAAGTATCTCGATCAACCCTTAAAAACAATAGCAAATATGCCTTGAATGTCTATGTCACAATCGATTCACTTTTAAGAGTCTGCAGTCGTACTCGAGATTACGAATTTAACTTATGATATTTATTGTTTATAAGAATTTGTAAGTTGTACTGTATGTGTATAAATATATTTTTTATTAATCCGAAGTGTTAGCGTGCGTGCATTTCCATTTTTTAATATGTGCATTTGTACACAATTGTAAATGTTATGAATGTAGAGACATAAATACAATAATATATAAGTATATAGATAAATGAAAGTATGGGCAAAAGCCACTCTTTAATGTATATAATAAATCTTTTATTTCATATAAGTTACAATTAATACAAACAATTTGCATTTATAATTTTTTATTTCACTTTACAAATCACACACTATAACTATAAGGACTACTTAACGTAAGCTCACCTATTGGAAATATAATGTCAGCAGTTGCCGCATGTGTGAATCATTATTATTCAATGCATAAAGTTGTTACCAATTTATAATGTTAGAACATACGAGATTTATGAATGCACAAATGGCGAAAAAGAAATGAACAGCATTAAATATCTACGTTTTTCTTCGTCACTTACTGCGAATTGCACTACTAAGAATAAGAATTATTGCATAGAAAGTTCTAAAGTTCTATAGCTTTATCATACCAGAATATTTATACTTTAACTACCGTTAAATAAATTTTGATTATGCTTCGCGTTACACATCCATGTACATACAAGGACGCGATGGATGTTTGTATGTACACACATGCGGAACCCGTTCCACTAAAATATCTTCAGCATTAGAGAGTATATATATCTTTCCACAATTAATAAATATCTTTAGTTTCTGTAAACAAGTTAGCGCAGCTTGTTTCAGAGAAGCCCGATGCTAGTCGAGGTGCGATAAAAGCAAATTCAAAATTAAATTAGAAGCACTCGCATACTTTTGCCGTAATCACTCGACGTCTCACAACGGTAAATTCCTAAATCAATAAAACTGAAAAATGAAATTCATGTAATGTAAATGAAGCCTTACATGCAATGGTGTAAATACTTCCATATACGATAACTCCTTTATATGTCGCTGACCTCGTAACGATATCTCCTACCATTATTATATTTTAGTCTTTAATGTATGTAAATGCTATGTTATTTCCTAACGCCAAACACCGAGTAAGTTTATCTATAATCGTTAGAAATCTCTACCTATGAAAGTACAAATTTTACACGAAGATAAAGAGGATCGAGGGTGTATATATCCGCATGTGTAATATGACAATAATGAACGTTAATGCCGACTAAATTAACGATTAGAATACATGGGTTTGAGCTAAAAAATAATGCTTTATATTAGCCTAACAACACTGTACATAGCACACGGGATTAACAATATTGGTCCTAAAGTTTCTGAAATTTCGCAGTACCAAATGAATTGTTGCTAGCCAAAATCGCAATGCAATGTATGCATTGTGTTGCATACCTCTCACTGCTTGCGTATAAATATCTAATGTACATCCCTTTTGATGGCAGATGTCCCTTGCCTATGCCGAAATAGCAAACACCGATCGATGACGTACAAAATGCAATTGATTTGCAGGGCTGGGTATTTTTACATTTAAAATGCCATTTAAAATGTAATTCTATTTAAAATGCTAAATGTAAAATACTTAAAAAAATGTATATTAAAATGTGTGTAAGGAAAACCATTCTGTATTTGAAAACTATTTAAAATATCTATTTACCCATTTTACACATAAAGTGGATTCGAAAAACATTTTACATTTTAAATACATTTTTTTAAGTATTTTATATTTGACATTTTAATGATTACCCAGCCCTGTTGATTTGTGTTCTGTTTGTATTCACTCGACAAAGAAAATTACCGTGTAAATACGTAAGATAATAATTATTTGTATACAATATAATTCTAATAGCAATCTATAACAAGCCAATATTACATATGCTTTTCCATTTAACATTTTACATATATTATCTAGGACACTTTTTCCTTTTTCTCTTTTAATAGGCCTTGGACAATTGACAACCTACATCTGTTGCAAATACACTTTATTACCACGGATGTAGGGGATCAGATTGTAACTGCAAAATAATTCACGAAAAGAAAACAATTCAATTTTTTTTTCCTGTGTATGATAATACACATCTCATTGATTTGCGATAATGTAATCATATTTCATATTTTTTCTTAAGACATGGTGTATGAAATGTGCAATGAATATTTTTAAATTGTATACGCTCGCCTGGCTCTTTAAAATTTCTTTTGCAAGCATTTTCAAGAATTTTAATCCCTACTTCTCTCATATATGTCAAATCTGTATCCTTAATAAGTAGTGTAATACAATTGCTTCGTTTAGAAAAAATTCCTTTCCATTAACAATACATGTATAAAGTCAGCTTTATATACTGATAGTTATTAGTATGTCTCTTGGGTTTTGAAAATTATCACGTTAGATATACAAATATTATGTTTATAGCGGCAGTGCGAAGGTAAGTAATTTAGACATCTTACGATAAGGATACGGATGGGAAAAAGAACTTTTGTACAATTTAGTACAAAAAGGCAATCTCTACTATGTATTACTACTATGTATTACTGAAGATAAAAACTATCATTATCATAAAAATTTGTATGAAACTGATTGCCTCCACAAATGTCATTCATCCATTAAAGTATTTAATAAAGCTAAAATATAACTGCAGCCATTATGGAACAACGTCATTTATTATAATAATATAGAACTATTATCTATATTAAATATATATATATATTTTTATATATATATAACATATCTGCTTTTAAAGCAGATAGATGTGCTTATAGAAAAAGGAAGGTTTTTACTTTGTGTTTGTCGTATAGCGCACACGCGCGCGCGATTATCTGTATATAAACTGTATGAAATTATTAAATTATTCCATTCATGAGATCGACATTTTTTTCTTTTCGTCTTCTGGGCACTGTTAATAAAGAGGAATAAATTAATAATAATGTGTTACTTTCGGTTTTTAAAGCTTCATGTACAATCTCGCAATGTAATAAATACATAACTATAAAATTTTCTTTATATCCTTTGCACTGTAGTGTCCCTGTAGATTAACATTATCTAGGAATAGAGAGAATATAATGGAAAAGAGTATTTAAAAGGGTTTTATAATTTAATACTTTAAATGTAAAAACGAAAACAGTCTTCATCTTGTCGCAGCGCAGTTGATCAAACTAAAGGAGGCAAGGGAAAACAAGGACGGATCTAGACATTACATGCGTGAACCCTTCTGCTGCAAAACCTAAAATGTAATCCAATAATCTAAACTTAATAAAATCGTATTAATCTCACTTCACTTATAGCTATAATATTTAACACTAATTAAAAGATCTATTACGGCAAATTGAAGTTATACAGTTTTATTATATAGAAAAAATTGTTCCGCCTCTGTTACATATTGTTGCCATGAACCAATAAAATGAGAAATACCAATACGCTAATCTAATTATAGTTATATACTTTGCTCCCCAAAAGCTACCCTTATCGAAAAGCAAACCCATATTATATTAGTATACACATTAATTTAATACTTCTATACTAATTTTCCATATCGTATAAACTGTACATAAGCTATTGGTGGTAAAATATACACTGTGGACAATTCACTCTTATGTCTAAAGGATATAATATATGATGAATAATTTGGCATGCAATAATGATTCATGCAGGTCACGGGGCATAAAGTATATATATATATATATATATATAACCACAAACCAATGAAAGAAAAAATTCTTTATTCAATAAACGGCATGCGGTACAATAATAATAATAATAATAATAATAATAATAGTAATAATAATAATAATAATATGGTACATACAACAATATCAGAGGCAGAACATGCTCATGCGAACAGGCCTCTGAGTTTTACACATTATTAGGTGGTTCTTTTTAGTTAACATGGCTTTAAGATATAACTTTAAAGCCTATGTATGTATATTTATATATATATATATATACACACAAATACATATAAAACAATATAAAAATTCGATAGACAGATTTTTATTCCAAATTTGATTTGAAGAAAATATCAAGCCACCTAATAAAATCTGTTGCTGAACATTTCACATCTACAATAAAATTGTTTTTCTTTTCATTTTGTCCCCTTATAAAACAATTAAGCAAAATAATTCAATTCTAAGCAATTGTCAAGAATATTATATGCAGAAAAATGTATTGCTGAATTAAGCGTAGTAAGTGACAAAACATGAGATAAAATTCAATCTCTAATAAATGTGTATATATAAATCATTTTTATCGCGTATATAGTGATAAAGCTCATCTTTGGTTTTCTACCCAACCCAATCCAACAATCAGTAGAGGCAAATTGTTAATATCAAAAATAATACTGCTCTTTTTAATTTTATCTTATTAGAACTGATAAAAAATGTGTTATTTAATTTTACAATAGCGTTAGAATCAAGAAAAATCAATGTTGGATTGCAAGAGTAGATCTTCAGCTTATAATAGATACCTCTTATGGAGTGCTTGGAAATTTATAATATCTTTTCATTCAGACAGGAAAGCATTTGCATTTCCATGTAAATAAATGTTTATTGCCTTAATAAATGTCTCATGCGATCCAACATGGAAAACAATAATACCGACACAAATTACTTAGGGGATACATGGTTTTACTTAAAAATGGTAAAGGTACTTAATAAAAACATGATTGAATAGCTAATAAATCAGCGTCTATCATATTGTATATCAGCTTGGATACAACAAAAACAAAAATGATCGCGTCAGCCATGGCTACTTTGGCTCAAATAAGGATGGGAGACAGTCGAATAGGATAGTGGTACCTTGACGCGATCCGTAGATTCCTCTTCTTTACTGCTGAGCTGACTAGGTCCGTATTCTCTGCTTACCACACACAAAAATTCCGCGTGATCATCATTACCATAGTTATATTGAGAACCTATGTTGATTAACTGTAAAAACAGAAGGAAAATAGCATTTATATTTAAAAAAAAAAGCAAGAAGAAATGTCATTGCAAGTCACTAATAGTAGGTATGCAAGAAATTGCATAAATAATTATTTTCTAGCAAGAGATAGAGCATAACACAGTGATCATTTCATTTTTAACATTGACAAGCAACAAGAATGTAATGATTCACTGTGTTATGCTCATATCAGACTAGAAATTGATATTGAGAGTAAGATTGAATTTGATCCATCAAAACAAAATTTGTTAAATTTTATATTGATTTCCTTTCTTCTAACTAATCAATTTCAATCTTAATCTTAATTTCTAGTCTGACAGTGAAAAAACTAGTGCAACATTGGTATACACCGAGTATGATTTAATGCAAATCGATTCACATATTTTCAATGTTAAATAATTTAACTCTTTTAATTATATATTCTTTGTTGTCATGACCTCATAATCTAAAAAAGATTAAATTGTTTATTAATATTGAAAATATGTAAACCAATTTGTATTCAATTGCTTTAATTTTCCCAATGAAAAACGCTACGTATCATATGTTGCACGCTGGAAAATAATCAATGTTTTAGTTAACAAAATATAAAGTAAATATAAATGAAATAATTGTTAATACCTGTTCAAATCTCCATCCGTCCGACATTGTGGACACCATCTGTGTCAGCTCATCTTCATGACATTGGATAACTCTATAGACGTGCTTCTTGAAATCCCTCTGCGGTCGAGTGTCCCTCAGAATGATTCTCTCTTTGACTAGCCGAATGAGTTCAGTGATATTGTAAAACTCTGCCTCCTCCAGCACACCTTCTTCCGTTAAATCCTTGTTGATAACCAGTTTACCATGGCGTAGATAGTTCAAGATTGGACTGAAGTACATGGGGTCGCGGTCTATCAGGTACGCTCCCGTTTCATCCTTAGGAAAACAAAACGGAAAGTCATTCACCACATTTCGGTAGAGGAAGCGCAAGGATCTCTGTTACGGGGAAGAAGTTCGTCTTTATTCTCAACGTCAACGTGAACGATGAAACACGACGATTGTTCGGACGGGTTCGTTTGAAATTCCCGGTAAGAAACAGTGTCAACTAACCCTGTCCGAAATAAGGTCTGAGTCCTCCTGACATAACCGGTAGAGAAACGAATTCGGATCCCTCGCCAGGGTGGTCTTCGCTGTCAGGAAGTACGTCCCGCCCACGTTCAGTCGCACCCACTGATTATTGCATCGCTTACCGACATGATTCTCTGTCATCTCGTGTGAGTTCGTATCGCTAAATTTCGCCATACTTGCATTGGCATCAATTGACATTAAAGGGAAAGCGGATCAGGTTGGGTCACGGGTTCGCAGGGCGGCTGGTCAGTGCAGCGTCTTAAATCCGTCCAAGTTGTCTAATTTGGAAAAACGGAAATTGCTAACTGTAAAACGATGTCCGATTTACAGTTACATCATTTTGCAATTTCGCCTGGTAATTTTAGAATAATTATAAAATTTTAAAGCATGCGATTTGCTTACAAGAATACTGAATAAAATAAGTAGCTAATTATTATATTAATTTTGTTTCTCTTTTGTTATTATTAGTTTCGCACTTGCTAATTATATTATTAATTATCCTACTTCCGATCTACTTATTTATACAATTGAGATACGATTCACAATTGATCAACACGATGCAAGTCATACTTGTAATTGTTTTCAGTAACAAATTTGCCGAATAAGTGACTAATTATCGAATACTTACACGTGGATTTATTTAACAATAAAGTAAAAATAACAAAGTTTATTCGGATTTATTACTCATTACTTATTCTGAACGTTATTCGAAATGGATTCAAATGGTTGCCATGTTTTCGAGGAGAGCTTCCGGATGCATTTGGGGAGACACTAGGCGCGTTCAAGTTGACAAAGCGGCTAGCCTGCTCGCCAAGCAAATGAATATAATTGGTTGTTACTTATAGATCCAACCAATCATATTCAATCGCTCG